GGTTTTGGCAAAATGTTCGCATCAATAAGGCATGGGCGGAGCAGGAAAGAATTGAGAAGGCAAAGTTGTAGGCTGAGCCTCAACAACACAGTACAGTTCCCGGTGCCTAACCCTAACCCTAACCCTAACCCTAACCCTAACCCTAACCCTAAGTATAATTAAATTTTTAATTAATTCTTTTATTTGTTATATAGTAACTAAAAGAATTATTAAGAATTTAGTTAATTCTTTTAGTTATTACTTATTAAATAAAAGAATTTCTTAAGTTTTATTTAATTCTTTTAGTAATTACTTAATAGCTAAAAAAAAATTTATAAACTTATTTACTTATTTTTATTTATATTAAATTATTCAAAGAACTTTTATTTTATAATATTAAGTAGCTATAGTAATAAAATAGTATTTAGTAGCTAGGGTAATAAAGTAATATTTATTAACTATAATAATAAAGTAATATTTATTAACTATAGTAATAAAATAATATTTATTAATTATAATAATAAAATAATATTATATTCTATAACTAAAAAAAAATAACTTATTTAAATATATTAAAAAGTAATAACTAAGTAAGTATAATATAATAATTCCTTCATTAATTTCTCGCTTTTTTAAAATATACTTTATTTTTAAATAAAAAGTATGCGAAATTTTTAAAATCTCCTAAACCTAAGCCCATTTAGCCTACTTAATTAATAAAACGCCCTAAGTGGAATATCGGATAATGCACGATATGTCCACGTCCTTTCTAAAGGTAGATAGTCTCTATTAGGATCACTGAGTGAGGGTTTTTCTGTCTCGGTGATGGAGTGAGAAGGACATATGATGGCGCAATGAGCTTGAATAGTCTATAACAGCATTATATTGCATCCAGGTATACTAAAAATGAGTGCAGAAGGACATAATTATTAAACGTGATCCAAACCCCATGCTCCGCGACCTAACTTGGCGCTACATTACTACTCTTTCCCCCCCTATCTCCCTGTTCCAATCGCCTTCCCACAACAAACTCCCTAGAATCCTACACCCTGAAGCCAAGCATGCGCAGCACCAAAACTCTCTGGTGCAGAATAATGCGTGTTGACATTATGCCCCGTGTTGTCTGGGACATATGCCACAAATTGTTCCACATTTGGGAAAAGGCTCCTGGTCTGCTCAATGTGGCTTTCGGGTCCCACGCCACAATCAACCGCGGGGACATCAGAAATACTGCCCGAACCACAAGCGATCTGATCCTGCCTCCCCGAAATGATCATCACGGGACCCGTAAAGGTCGACGACTGAGTAGAACCAGAACCTGCTATCTCCCCGGCTGCAAACATGTGGGGAGAAGCGGCGTCCCACGCTACTACCGCTGGATTGAAGCCGCCATCGGGGCCGTAGAGGACTTGGCGGATGTCTTTAGTGGCGGAGAGGTATCCAGGTGCTAGACCTTTGAATCGCGGATCCACGGCTGTGGCGGCTCGGGGCGCAATATCGGCAATGAATCCATTCAGGCCGGTGAGTTCTGCAGCTGTAGCAGTCAGGATGTATGCATCCGCTCCTGAAGTGGGGAAGATTGTTGCGAGGACGCGACCAATGATGGACCCGTAGGAATGTGTGCCCATAATGACCTTGTCGTACTTCGGAATTCCTGAGAGAGAGCCTGCGCGGATGCTTCTGAGAATCTCGTAGACGACGGCCAGTTGGAGCGGCGTCTGGACGATCTGAACGGGGTCGGGACGCGAGGAGTGGCCGTTGCCAAGGTTGTCGATTGCCAGAGTTGCATAGCCTTGCGAGGCGGCGTGGTAGATCCAAGAGTATTCGCCATAGAACGAAGAATTTGGGTAGTTTTCGCCATTCCAGTACTCCTATAATATATCGAGATGTGTTAATTATAATTTGAGATATAGCTGAGTGGGTAGGACCGGCTTGCCTTGTTACTGGTGAGGCCGTGGAGAAGGTACTGGATCGTACCCTCGCGACCCTTGACCTTGACGGTCGGCTCGCAGTACAATGCACTGATGTTGAAGGTGCCCTCGACTGGCGCATTGGGTAGGGTCGAAGCATTAAAGCTGCCGAGCCACTCAAAGAGAACACCTGGTTCAGTCGAGGTCGGGTACGCGGGGAAGGCTGTGTTGTTCGCCGCTGCAGTGATGGGTAACACCAGCTCCTTGCAGACGGGCTTCGAAGCAGTGCAGGATATGTTCGTCGGAGCTGCGAAGCTTGTTGCAATCAGAGCTGCAAGGACTCCGGCGTAGGTTGGTCTCATGGCGATGATACGACTGGTGAGTGATCTTGGTGAGGGAAGTAGTTGCAAGTAAGTGTGGTACTGAAGTAATGGTTGCTGGATAGAGCGATTCGAAGATGGCGAGAACCAAGCGACCGGGTCTTCTTATATTCTCAATTTGCAGAACTTCGTCTAATCTTAGAGAATTCATGTCAGTCTAATTTAATTGGCAAGCTTCGGGGTCTGATGGAGCTCTATGCACCAGCAACTCGGTTTCTCACGATAACGTTCATTGGCCAGAGCGAAACCTTTGAGTAGCTTAGCGGCACGCACAAAGCCACTCCTAGTTTCTGGACCCACAACGGCTAAGACCAACGTAAGAACGTTCTTGAGTTTACTGCTTACTCTTGTGAACTCTAACCGAATGTGGCATATGACCGAACACTTCACCATTGGGCGCCTACGTTGCTGACACACGCTTTTCGTAGTCCCGATGAGGATATTGTTGAAATGGAACGATTTCCTAGATGAGGCTATGAGAGTCGCATCCATTGGTTGCTCGCGCAGATTTCTATTTGCTACAGGATTACCCAAGAAAGGCATAGTGACGCATATTTCGCTACATCAAGCAGTGTGTACACATAAACTGTCATGCGAGCGGTAATAATCTTCTGCATGGGCTCTATTGAACTTGTGTTGTTATTTCACCATGATAGCACAGCTATAATTCTGGGAAGCTATAGAAGGCGCTGACACCCATGCTCGGTTCCCAGATATACTCCTCTAAGACTGCTCGCAATTCTCCCTCACTGTGAATCGCAAGGTCAGATATGCACTCTCTCACGCTGCACCTCGGATAGTCTGCGTCTAGCATAGTAATTCCAACCACGCATGCAGTCCAGAGGTGCAGCTTTATATGAGTCGTTGGGACACCAGATGGGTCTACGAGGCGGTCATAGTCCACACGTCCGATGCTATGCCGCACGGCTCGGCGCAGGCTTACTAAGACGGACGCACGAGGTGTCAAGTTCCTGAATAGTTGATTAAGACATAGCAGTGCTGCGTTTCGTGCTGCCTCGTGAACGTACAAAACAGAGTCCTGTGACGTGTTGAGCCTAGCTAACGGAGCTTTAATTAAAAGAAGTTGATGCTCGACCGCACAGGTCAGCTGTATGAACGTATTCATGTGCGACGTTGACTCTGCTAGAGCATTGTAAGAGATCCTGTACAAGCTTGCAAGTCGTGATATCAGATTGATCAGTTCTCGTATTCTTGCGCATGTCGCTTGTGGGTCCATTCTGGGGGGCCAAGGTCCTGCAAGGAGCTCGAGTTTCAATGGCTCGCTGAGGAGCGTGGGCAGCTGCGACTCCAGCAGAGGGCAACCCATGATGGGTTCGGTTCCAGATATCGTGGCAGATATCAAAAGTCCACTGCAAATCAGTCAGATACTATCAACAGCTATGATATTTGGCGCCGCTCACATGGACAAAAAGGTTGACAATGTGCCTTGACAGCCAAGCTTCTCCAAACCGCCTCTGTCTCTGATCAAACGCTTCAACGCTGTTTGATGCACGGCGTCTTGTGCAACATCGCCTGTGATGTTCTAAATTTTGTGAGTGATTACGTCTCGGGCCCGAAAGGCAGCATGGCTCCGCCACTTACACCACATGCGCCAAGTAATCCAACCCCCAAAATTAATGCATCGCTGGCCGCGGGGCGGACAGCGCTCAACTCTTCGCATACCAATTGCATTAAATGTCCTCGAAGTTGCAAGGTCCTCAAACTCCAGCGGTTTCCGTGCATCGTGTCGATATGCACGGCGGAATGAAACAATATGGCTTCAACGAACAGCGGACATGTAATAATGTAACCAGCCAAGATTGTACCAAGGGGATGTGGTGCGGAGTGTCGACGAAAGGCCTGGATTTTGGGTACGATATTGTGGATAACTACGTGCAGTTCGTGTTAGCCAGGTCGTATGGCTCTCGGCTGACGGCATCAGGACCACTGTACTACTTACAATGGGCGAAGAGCATGGGCCCCTCGCGGCGACTTTCCAATAACGTCGTCGAGAAAGGGTCAGAGGCGAGCCCAGAGCCGATCTCAATCGTTAGTGTATTCACTGTATTGCTGGTTCTCCGGTCTGCATCGTGTCCATGAGGGTTCGATGGTGCTAAATAATTTGTGGCCGAGCCCTCATCGGTGCTCGGTTGGAGGCGCCGTGGAGATCTGGTGTTATGGTTGTGGCGCTGCAGTCTTTGGCCCTGACGGTAAGCTCGCATCGCTGCTTCTCGGATAATCTTCCGATCATCTTGTAGCACCTTACCACTGTCCTGGTCCGATGAAATAAATCTCCAACTCGAAGACATGTTCAAGTCACTTTGAGTATAGAGCGGGCGAGTTTCAGGTTACCATCCAGCGAGCTCACGAAGACGTTTCTGTCCATAAGTTGCATTTACATAGACCCTCTGAGCTATCTGCCCGGTTTCGGGCCCTTCGGAAGCGTAGGCAGTAAGATGGGGCGCGACGCAATGACATAATCACCAATCTGAGAAAACCCTCATTATCTAACTATTACTTACAAACGTGGCTTAGCTGTCGATCATGGGCTTGAGCACATTTTAGTGTTTCCCGAACTGGCCCAATGCGCTAAGCCTTTATGAGATAACGCTCTGACGAATTGGAAGAGTTGTTGAAATTTGTCCCTAACCTGCAAATGGAACTAGCTCACCTTCATAGGCTGCATGTGGTCTTGACACGACAGAACGGTGCCAGCTGTAAGACGCCCTAGCTGAACATTAGCGTGCAGCACGGCGCACCACTCTGCAGGTTGGCTGACATGTAGATCATTCATGTAGAGCGGACTACAACTACGAAACTTCAATACCTCCACGGTGGCGAGTGATCTCTGCGCACGTTTCGGGTATGTCCTAGGTCACTCGTCACTTAGAAAAAGAGCCATATGGGAACGTTCCCACGTAGCTGTCTAAACTTAGTGCGTCCGATCGTGCCGAGTAAAATCCGTCTTAACATGGACGGATACTTCAATGCGAACAAACTGAATTCACTTAAAACCTCACGACTTCGATGCTAAACGTAACATCAAGCGTGCCTCAAAACAACAAGCATTTTATTTGTGGTTCCTGGTACACTGTTGTTCACCATATACGAAACTTCGCTACGATAACGCTTTACACAATGCATTTCATGACCTTTTCCACACTCCTGTCTGCAGTTCAACTTGTCACTGCTTTGGCAACTGTACCTCCAAGCGAAGACCCGTTCTACATGGTACCATTAGATATAGAAGCATCTCCACCTGGTGCCGTTCTTCGCATTCGCACAGATCCAAGCAATGTGACTTCAGTACTCAATTGCTCCGCGGCTTACAACATTCTCTACCGAACCACAGACGCTGGCCTTCGGGCGTCCTGGGCTGTTACGACACTACTGATTCCTCACCACGAAGTCCTTGCTACGACTAATGGAACCCATGTTGCTCGGCTGCTATCATACCAGATTCCCTACAACACGGCAGATCCTGACGCAAGCCCCAGCCATTTGCTCTCCACGCTTTACGCCACCGCAGCAAGTCCTGCCCCTGCAGACTATATCGCCCATGCCCTGGCACGAGGATGGTACGTCAGTGTGCCCGATTTCGAAGGTCCTAATGCTGCATTCTTCGCCGGCCCTCAGTCAGGTTTCGCAGTTCTCGATTCGATCCGTGCCGTCCTAAGCCAAAGTAAGCTGGCCTGCTGGACCGATGCCCGATACACAATGTGGGGATACTCTGGTGGCTCTTTTGCCAGCTTCTGGGCTGCAGAATTGCAAGCTTCTTACGCCCCTGACGTCAAGTTCGTCGGCATGGCCATTGGAGGCATGCCCTCGAATGTGACGCACGCTCTACAACAGTTGAGTGGCACTGCTGCGGCAGGTTTCGTCCCTTCCATTCTTCTCGGTGTCACAGCTCCTTTTCCTGAAGCGCGACAGTATATCGTGAAGAGTCTCAAGACCGAAGGGCCATTCAATGCGACAAGCTTTTTGGCTTGTCTCCGTTACAATTTCCTAGAGTACTCGACTGCCTACGCTGGCCAGGATATGTACAAATACTTCGCCAACGGCAGAGATGTCCTCAACGCACCAATTATTGCACATCTGCTTGGAAACAACGTACTCCCCACATATCATGGAATCCCGCAGATGCCAATCTACGCTTACAAGGCAGTTCAGGATGAACTTCTTCCCGTGCAGTATACCGATGCGCATATGCAGAGGTATTGCGAGGCGTCTGTTGACGTACTGTACCAGAGAAATTCAATAGGCAACCATGAGGAGGAACTGGCGAACGGTGCACCCGAGGCTGTCAAATGGATAACGAGATGGCTTAATGGGGACACCACCGAGGTGATCAAGGGCTGTACTGTGCAGGATGTCGCTGTCAATATCACTCAGGCTTTGGCATACAGGTGATTCTCGAAGAGCTTGCGTAATGTTGTGTCAATTTGCGGTGGCCGTTGCTCTCCCGGTTAAAGGCATCTCGGGCTAGCAAGCCTTACCTCTTTCAATCACTGAGTATCCACCCAGGCTTTAACAAGCTTCTCCTTATATAGATCAAGCCATGTCTGATTGACGTAGGCGACTTCTGCTATGTGTGAATCGATATACTGCTGTTCGAATGCGGAGACACGAGCCTTAAAGATCTCTTCTAATGGAGACCTTACAATTTCATGCCAGTGGTGATAGAAGGCTTTCCAACTTTTCAGCTTCTCTAAATTCTCCGTTCAAGCAGGGAACCTCCGAGACCCCCAGTGCGGCGCTTAATAGCTAGATATAGTATTGTGTTAGTAGTAGTTGCGCTAACGTAGCTAGTTATATAAAACTTTTGGGACTTACTAACGTTACTAGTAGCCGAAATCGCAGCTGCTAAGACTCTAATGAGAATTATAAGACACGCGAACATCAAGCCGATATTGACGATCGCTGAGTCATGGATGTCAACGGGGCGGCCCGCATTTAACCTTAATTGTGGTTAGATGGATCTG